TGGGGCTAACCATGGCTGACCAGGCCTGGACACTGATGGGGCTAACCGTACCTGACTGGGCCTGGACACTGATGGGGCTAACCGTACCTGACCAGGCCTGGACGCTGATGGTGCTAACCGTACCTGACCAGGCCTGGGCGCTGATGGGGCTAACCGTACCTGAGCAGGCCTGGACGCTGATGGGGCTAACCGCACCTGACCAGGCCTGGACGCTGATGGGGCTAACCGTACCTGACTCAGGGTTGGGGTGTAATTTCCATCCTTGTTTGCTGACCGTAATGATGAATGACTTTTTTGGGAGTGGGAGAGAATGAGCCAGAGAGTGGGGATTCAGTGTTTTCCTCTGGGATAATTCAGGACAAGGAGATGCCAAATTTTAATCCCTGATCCAAGTCGGTGTCAGGAAAGAAACCCTCACACTTCGATTGGCACAGATCTAGACCTCCCTCTCGCACCACCCCATGAAACCCCACCCCACCAAGAAAGGAACTGTGGAGACCGAGGATCAAATTCTGAAGCTGGCCTGGCTTGTTTTGTTTAAATGTTGGGAAACTGAGGCGGGGAAACAAGTCATGGTAAAGTTCTGCCCTGACTGAATTGAGTGATAGAACAGGGTAGAGGGGCTGAACGGCTTATGTTGACTTCTGGTCATTAGTTTAGAATGCTCTCCTGTAATACACCTTCAGGTTTGTCCATGTAAGGTGTTCCCCACAGTTCACTGCGTTGTACAGAGACAGGCCCCAGGCAGTGGGAGGGACTGTGTGATAGCAGAGGTCAGGCTATATCAGGCCAGCTTCCTGCTCTGGGGTCTCCCAGTCTCGCCCAAAACACCAGGAAAGGCCGGGTGGATTATACAGCAGATGATGGAATCACCACCTGCTCACATCCCTCGATCGCCAAAGTAGGACATTCCCCCGCAAAGAACAAGAATTGGTGGATCAGCATGGTTTATAACTGATATCCTAAAGATATCTCTGTTAACATGACATTTATAGTGTGGTTGCTGTTCTATAACCGCTGGAATATGTGCAATGGATAGTGCTAACTGCTTTAATGACCTGTCTCCTATAAAGGCTGGCACATGCTGGGATTTGCTGGTTGTGTTTCGTCGACCTAATGCCTGTTATATTTCGTTGTGTTTGGGGAAAGGGCTGGAGCTACAGAATTGGGGCTCAGGGATATCGCTGCAGCCAATGGGGACACATTCCCACAGGAGCTGCCACATGGTCTCCCACCAATCAAATGGATCATGGCTGACCACGGGCAATGGGTGAGGAATGGTTTCTCTGACTGGGCTCTTCCTGGAGGTTTTATCCCATCACCTTCCATTTCTGACTTCCCTGTTTCCCCCTCCTAAACACCACCCCCACCCAACACAGTCTCTCCCTCTCTCTCTCTCTCACACACACACAGACAGTATCTCTCTCTCTCACACACACACACACTCACTCTCACACTCACACACATACATACACTTAGACAGTATCTCTCTCTCACACACACACACACACACACACACAGTCTCTCTCTCTCACACACACACAGAGACAGTATCTCTCACACACACACAGACAGTCTCTCTCTCTCTCTCACACACACACACACGCAGACAGTATCTCTCTCTCACACACACACACACAGAGACAGTATCTCTCTCTCTCACACACACCCTCTCTCTCTCTCACACACACACACACACACACACAGACAGTATCTCTCTCACACACACACACACCCCTCTCTCTCTCTCACACACACACACATACACACACACACAGACAGTCTCTCTCTCACACACACACAGACAGTATCTCTCTCTCTGTCACACACACACACACACACACACACACAGGCAGTATCTCTCTCTCTCACACACACACACA